TTATATAAGATCCATTTTTAAACTTGAAAAGAAAAATGGCCTACGTCATGTAAAGTACCTTACGACGCTGCAAAAAAATGTATCTATGGGCACCACTCATCCAAATACCCAAACAAGAGGTGTTGGACTGGAAAAAGAAGGTAGCAGCGTTTCCAATGTTACAATGGAACCAAACTGCCATGCGAAATCGTGTAAAACCCCTCTTCGGATATGATGCGATCTCGGATAGCTCCCGATGATTAAACCGTTCAGTGACCCATCCGCGCGAATAGCTTATAGTATCCACCCAATACGAAGACAAGACAATAATAAATAAAAATATTACGCACATAACAAGGCGATTCCAGGAAAACCTTTTATGGGCAAAAAACCTAGCATAACAAATCAACTGCAACAAAATGCAAAATAGATCTCGGTTAAGCAGATATGTTTATTTGCATGATCTTTAACCTCGATCGGTCGGGCTGAATGCTACCGTGCCACCCTGCAACCCCTTATAACCGTCTTTTTCGTTTCTTTTCCTTTGTTTGATATTTATTATTATTTTACTGAAGTTATTTCCGCCACTTTCACTTCTTTCCTTCGTTCCCTTCTTCCCTTATTACCGTTTGTATAGCTTACGTTTTAGTAATGGAACTCTGATCAAAGTATCTCCATGTAATTAGCAACTTCCTTTAGTAAAATACCAATTCTTACATAGGATAAAGTGTGTAGGATAGCAACATCGCATATTGTTTTACTAATGTCAACTTTCAAAGATAGTTTTGTGAATAAAATCATTCTGATAAAAAATATTACTTTCTAGCTATACTATACAATGTACTTACTTCATTATCGTGTAGGTATATAAGAGCTATGAGTAAAGTAAATCTTAAAAAGTAATTTAAATGTGTTGACACTTGATGACCAATTGAAAGTTATGCATAGTGCTTTGTCAATAGTCTATTAATTATAGAGGAAGGTTTAATTTGCAGAGGTCTCAGAATGAATCAGAATCAGAACATTAGGTTACACAAAAACAAATCGTCATAGAGAACGTGAATGTTCATGAAACAGGTATGTATAAATAGACTAAAAATAGGCGGTCTTATATGAGATCATTAATCTCTTGGTCTACTGACTCCCGAAATTACCACAGATACGTAGTGTAAATTCGAATCCACAGGTGTTTTAGTAGTCGGTCGCCCACGCGGCGCGTTGTTCAAGCATCGGTGTGTAAAACATGATGCACGTTAAAAACTTTAACCAGCTAAACTGACCTAGGGCCGGTACTTTCAACGGCGGTTAGTTTAATTTAGCAATTGGTTAACTATAAACCACACGTTTGGGTACTTTGAGGCGCGATTAAGATTTAAACAGGGTTAAAAGTGGGCGGAACTGCTGTTAAACTAACCGTTTGAAAAAATCATGGTTATGTAGCTAACCATGTGTGTTATAACCTTACTTCATTATTACTATCTCTGCTTTCAATTTACAACAAACAATAAAACATAATGGATTTGTTTGAACTTGACGAATTGTTTGATGATAATGATGAAGAAATCATTAATTTTATTGATGGTTTGAGGTCTTATACCGTGAAAGAGAGAAAAGACCATTTTGCTGAGTGTACTGACAAGGAGTTCTATGATCGGTTTCGGTTCAGTAAAAATATTGTTAGAAATGTTATTTTACCAGCAATAGGACATGTGTTTCAACATGAACACCTGCTACAGTGTGTATTATCAAATACTAGAATGCATTCAAAATAACACTTTTTCCCTTAGGTACCATGAAATTGACCCTTTGAATCAGCTTTTAATTACGTTAAGATTTTATGCTTGTGGAAGCTTTTATATAACGCTAGGAGATTTTATAGGTATACACAAAACAACTGCAGGAAGAATAATAAAAAGAGTAACACAAGCTTTACTTACTATTCGAGGCAATTACATAAAATTTCCTGAAAATGAAGAAGAAAAAAGAAGAGTACAAGAACGTTTTTTTCATGTAGCACAATTTCCTGGAGTTATTGGAGCAATTGACTGCACACATGTGAAAATTCAATCTCCGGGTAAGAATACATTCACTTCTTAACAAAACATTATATTTTACGACATGAATAATTTCTGTGATTATATACAAGTTTTATTTTTAGGTGGGAACAATGCAGAAGTTTTCCGGAACCGAAAGGGCTTCTTTTCATTAAATGTGCAGGCAATATCTGATAGCAGGTATGTTATCATGGATATAGTGGCACGATGGCCGGGATCTTGTCACGATAGCCACATATTTGCAAACTCGCTTATCAAAAGACGATTCGAAGCAGGTGAATTTGGAGAATCTGTTTTATTAGGCGATAGTGGCTATCCCTTGCTTAATTATTTAATGACACCAATAGGAAATCCACAAACACCAGCCGAAGAAAGGTATAATGGAGCGCATATATCCAGTCGAACAGTAGTTGAGAGAACATTTGGGATATATAAAAGGCGATTTCCTGTTTTGAGTTTGGGATTACGATGCAAAGTTCATTTTGCACAAGAGATAATTGTTGCTACTGCTGTATTGCATAACATAGCTATTCTACATAAAGATGAAATTGTACCTCCTCCTGTCGATGTAAATAATTTACTAGAAGATATGGAACCACCTCAACTAGTTGCAGGAGATCGAAACATAAACTTTGTGCAACAAAGATATGTTAATTATTTTCAACAACTTTGAATATTTTTTTATTATTATAATTAAAAGAAACATATAGATTTCTAAATTAAGTCTAGTTTACTACTTAAATATAAATGTAAGAATATCTGTAAGTATACAGTTTAAATAAAAATAAAGTGAGCCTTCTATGTTACACTTTTTAAATCTTTTAGCTTGGAATTCAATTCACATTTTAATATATCGATTTTTAACTGTTGTTCTTCCACAGCTAAGGCATGCAATTCTTTTTTTCTTGTTCTCTCCTCAATTATGGCCTGTAATTGCTCTTGTTTAATGTTCATCTCAATATCTGCTAGCTCTTTCTCTTGCTTTGTTTTATTTTGCTGCTTAAGTGCTGCATCAAGCTTAATGTTCTTTTCTATTTTGTAACATTCCTCTTGAATTTTAGCTAATTCTGTTTTTTGGAAAGCCAAATCCTGAAAACCCTTGAGGCTGTTCTGTTTTTCATCAGAGGTAACAGTTCTTTTACGTTTCAAGTTCCAGGACTTTGTGGGCTAAAAATTACAAATAAGTTTATTAGTACTATTTTATGTAGGTAGTACCCATTTATACACACCTGTGGTGTAGTAGTATTTTCAACATGTACTGGTCTTGTATTAGTTGGATCGTCAGTTACAGGTTGTACCTCTGGTTGTATGCCACTAGAGGTCAAGCCAGCAGGCACGATAACCATTGCTTGTGTCAATGACGATTCATTTTCCATGTAAACATCTGAAAATACAATCTCAGTATTTTCTTCAGGAAGCTCTCCTACACCTAAACAAAATAAAATAAATACACAAATTCTAGTCACAATAACCACCTACCATTTATGTCGATTAATTTTGTCTCGTTTACAACTATTGTGTCCGAATCACCTGTTGAGGTAAGACCTTCTATACTTAATTGTAAAATTGAGTACAATTGCTCTTCATACCACAATAACTTCACGTCAATGGGTGGGCCACCTCCAGTGCCCCTGTAATTCTGTTTTGAAAGCGCTATTTTCTTTTTGAGATTTCTTTTTATATTTTCATATTTCATCTTCAACGCGTTAACATCACGCTTCGTTTCAGAATTCGCACTGTCAAATAACTTTCCAACTCTCGCCCATGCACTCTGTTTTTCTCTTAAGCTTCCTCCATCGGTTAATTTATTTTCTATTATTTTAGACTCTTGCAGAGCACATTTCATTAATAAATCTACTTCGGTGATTGTAAAATTGCAACCTCTATCGCGTTTTTTTGCCATTTTAACAAATCAATCGTATGTTGAAGAGGTTATGTTAGGAAATAAACAAAGAAATAAACGATACGTTTGAACTACTTTTGTTAAAACATTGTTACCAACCGAACATAATCGTTGGTTATCTAAACAAGATTTAAACTACGGTGTAAAGTACCGAAACCGCTTAATCATGATTATTGATATTGGTTAGTTTAACAAAGCGATTAACTAATCGGTCGTTTAACACAAAGCGAAAGTACTGGCCCTAATGTCTCATTTTAGATAATTTATTTGGACATTATTTAGGCTTTTGCTCGCTGAACAATCTAGATTTTCAATTTTCTCGATTCGAAATTGCTATAGCGCTTGTTATGGGCTTGCTTTAACATTTTTATCTGAAGTAATAAATAAATAATAAGACATCCCACAAAATAAATACATCCTGAACAGTAATTTATAAATTAACATGACGTAATCGTATGTAATTGGTCACGTTAGATTCGTCATTTGTGCACGAACACGAAGAATAAATTGCATTAAATCTTTTAGGTACGCAATGCATCTACAATGTATAATTACTAGACGTCTACTTATTCAAGTGCATCTTTGTAAACTTTCGTTTAGCGTTTAATGAATCTATAAAATTCTATATTTTATGATAATCCCCACCTTTAGTATGATTACCATGAGATTAAAAATTCAAAAGGTTGTAAACGTTCGTTTCGAATTTAAGGTCTCCTCCGGAATGCGCCTTGCTTTGACACACTTCAGCTAAATTGTATGAGCAGCCGGGGAGTAAATTAGAGAAGCTCGTAAAGTTAAGATTAGTCTTGCTTTATGTTCTTTTCCAGCTAACATAGTAATCAACCTTTCACTTCTATAAAACGATTCTCTCTGCTTAGACATAAAAGTTGATTTTCTCTTGTGTGAAAAAAAGGTGCAAAGTTCCCCTGTGGCAGAGACCAACCGCATATTACCTACATGTTCTTCTAGATAAAGTGCCTTGCCAGTTCGGACGACTAATTTGTATTCTTTGGGAGGAATAGCTTCTAGGGCATCTTGGCCTCTACCAACCCACCCTCGGAACATATTTGTGTATCGGTATGTAATTATAAAGTCTTATAGACTTCTAATTGTGAATATATTCCTCAGCAGCCCTGAATAATGAGATATTTTGTGTTAGCTAATATGTATGCGTGACCGGTTAAAGTGGAGACGCAGTGTTTTGATTATTATGCTAATAATTTAAATGACAATTACTGAAAAATCTGAATTTACTACAAAAATATCTTCCATTCACTGATAATTTCATTAATTAAAAACTAGAACCAAAATTTGGAAAAATACTCATTCCAATTAAGTTATTAGCAGAATATTTAGAAATTTATACACTCGAGTACCAACTTCAATATTGGCGTCCTTGTTACTTCCATTTGTAAGGAATTATGAATGTATGCCATTAAAAAAGAACTAAATACATTTAGGACAAAAACCCAATCCTCACAACTCAAAATCTTCTTGCTCGCAAGATAATCAAGTATATCTTAGAAAACAAGGTAACGAGTGATTCTAAATAATTCTTTAATACACACGAAACTGTTTAGTTTAATTCACCGATAATTGGCACAAAACGGAAATAATAAAGATTAAGTCAGTATCTTATAGCCTTGAATTCTTCAACGTTCATAATCTTTCGGGATCGACTTTCAGCTGTGTGTCATCGATACCTGCTGACCGGGTTCGATGTTCTGCACCACTCACCGCTTCTAAATAGAATTCACGTAGTGTTGTTGGGGATGCAGAAATTTGAATAAACTTTAGGATCTTCCCGTAGAATATTCTATGGGGAGATCCTGAACTGTATTCATTATTTCTGTTTACCCATTCTGAGAAGGAACCAAAGACATACCAATCCTGCAGAATTAGCCAAATATCCAGATTTTCGGTTTCGGTCTTATTCAAACACAAATCCCAAGCTTTAAAAAAACAAAAACACAAACGAACAAACCGTAGCAAAGTTTAAACAATACGCTGCATTGTTGAACGACCATTAATAAATGGAAAGTTTTCGATTTATCGTGAAGCCCAGTGCATTTAGTTAAAAAATTCGTGCAATTTATTCGCGATACACGCTTTGTTCAATTCCGTATCACTGTTAAGATTCTATTTATAGGTATTTATTGAAAATACGGATTAATTTATTTTCCCTGTATGGATATTATTACTTATATTTTGGTACACACACTTGCAATTTTCATAACTTAACCTTTAAATTGGCCTTAAAATGAAGGACAGCCGCTTACAACGATTCTATCCGGCTACAAAATACATGCGATCTTCACGCATGAAGCGCTTGAGCTCATCCTCTACGAGCAAGATCTCGAATCACCTGGCGCTCTGCACTTGCTCCGCACCTATATACACTTCTGGTTGGTTGCTTTTTTTTTAGCTAACGCTATCCAAAGCGATTTGAACCAACGTTGTTTTTTGGGCGTCTTCTTCTTAGTTGTACGTCATCACGTTGAACAAGCATGGAAAAATCTATTGAAGTGATTTCTGGTATGTAACGGGAGCCCGCTAGCGCATTTTATTTAATTTTTATACTTTTAATGTGGGCGAGAATTTAATTTGATTTCAGCAGTTGAAACAGTTTTAAGGTGGTTTCTCCCAAGGGAGTCGAATTTTCATGGAGTGGTTTTTTGGAGTTGGTATTGCAAAATATAGAGTAGGTTTTTTCGAAATTTTGTTCTAATTTTTGGGCGAGTGGTTTCCGAGTACGCCTCTGGGCCGTTAAATGCGTATGAAAGCTATAAGCGCCAGATTATCGCGACATAAACGAAATGAATTAGAACCACGGCCGAGCTGAATCAGATCCGCTCGTTAGCTCGTTGCGCAGCATTCTAGTTTTTGTTGAATCTTTGGGAAAGCATGCAATTTTTAGTTTCTGTTTATTTGATTGGCGGAATGAAATGAAGTTATATTATGTATTAAAAAAGATGCTACTTGAATGTTGAATGTTGGGCAAAAAATATCATTACATTCGTATATTAGAAATACATTATTTGGAATTATGAAAAATAATTAATACCATGGCTAGCTCAGTAATAAATAAATTATCAATTACTGTTACCTTGCGGAAGATTTCGTCTTTATCTCCACTTATAATATGAAAGTTAAAACCTGATGCTCTGATTTGACTGCTCTCAAATAAGTATTCATATAAATTGAAGAGTTTAGATATTGTCAAAATGAATATCGTTTCAACTCATTTTCATTACATTTTTGTGATTTAAAATATTGATTTACTTCATGTAACCATTTCAAGCCTGTTTCGTGATCATGTTCAAATCCAATTAAATGGCCCATATTAATAAAAGTAAGCATATGCTTATACTTGTAAAATTCAAAGTAAATACTCGTAACTGCTCCCTCACACTGGGAGAATTTACAGCGCTGCTGAACATCCCAGTGTGAAGGGGCGAGTATTTAATTTGAATTTTGCAAATGAATTTTATTCATATGGGCCATTGTCTAAATTCCTTTTACTATTTGTAATTACTCCAACACCCGGTACAAAATTCTATTCAAAAAGAAATTTACACGGCTCGGAATGCTACATAAAATTTAACCCACATAAAAAAATGGTATCAATGAACTTAAAAATCACTTCACAATTAATGAGAAGAACTTTAACAATCTTTGGTGTGGGTTCACTTATCGTTCATAAAACAATACATAAAAATGGTTCACAGGATAAATTTCCGTAAATCAACCTGAATGTTAGAAATACTTAAGTGTAAATTCCTTATACAAAATCCCCAAAAACTGGCGATTCCTATTTTGATATAATATAAAAAGATGGTGGACGAATTTAAATCCAGAACAAACCTTTGCTCCCGGTTCCTCACATTTTATTAGTTCTAAATT